CTGCTGAAAAACATGGAGTTAGAAGCTCTTTTTAAAATGAACGTGTATTAATGTGAATGTAACGTGAAATTTGACTTTATTGTATTTACTTTAAGGCCAAAATTAAGCACAACAAACATTGTTTTTGTGGAATGACCTCAGTCCAGATCTGAATATCTTAGAGTTTTCACTGCTCGTCTTCTGCTCCTCAGAACATCGTTGCCGTGGGGGCAGGTTTCTGTGACGGTCTGGGTTTCGGGGACAACACCAAGGCAGCGGTGATCAGACTGGGGTTGATGGAGATGATCGCCTTTGCTCGTATTTTCTGCACGGCCGGGCCGGTCTCCTCCGCCACCTTCCTGGAGAGCTGCGGCGTGGCCGACCTCATCACCACCTGCTACGGAGGACGTAACCGTAAAGTGGCAGAGGCTTTTGTGAAGACGGGGAAGGTGAGGAGTGGGATTATTTTTTTTAATAGAAAAAAGGTCGACTGTAGAAGGTGGTGCTTTGTCAGAGATGGTAATATATTTAATTATTAGAAATAGTATGTAAATATAATTATTTTAGATTCATTTAAACTTTTATTATTATTAAATTAGTTACTAGAAGTGATTGTTTTTCAAAATAAAAGCCCATGCAGACTTTCTTCTTTCTTTGTGGTCCGGTGCCAAACGATGCACCGTCAGGTACTGGTCCCCAGGCCTGTGGTTGGGAACCCCTGCCTTATAGGGGACTCAATATCAAGGATTTGATAAATTCCAGTTACATCAGCTACTGCAGGTAGATGTTTGATAATCTGCCAAGATCTGGAGACATTTCCTAAAACAAGTGGTTTTCAGACCAGAGTTTGGGTTTTCAGTTTTTTGGTGCTAACCTTGGTCCTGGATTCAAACCACAACCCTCAGATTACAAAGCCTTCTGTTAAACCTCTGTTCTGTTCCTCAGACCATCGAGCAGCTGGAGCAGGAGATGCTGAAGGGTCAGAAGCTGCAGGGCCCGGCCACAGCAGCCGAGGTCCACCTCATCCTGAAGCACAAAAACCTGACTGACAAGTAAGTCTGGCCACATTTTTTATTAACCCGGTGGGTTAATAAATGAGCAGTTACAGGAGCAAAGTGGTTCTCAAAGTGGGGGGCGTGGAGCTGTTGCAGGAAGATTCATTTAAATTACATTCTTATATTTATTGGTCTGTTAATTATTAAACCTCCCTCTCCCTCTCTCTCCCCCCTCTCTCTCCCCAGGTTCCCCCTGTTCAACGCTGTCTACCAGATCTGCTTCGAGAACCACCCAGTCACAGAGTTCATAAGCTGTTTGCAGAACCACCCAGAACACATGTGAGAGATGACCCAACCCCCGACCAAGTGCCTTCTACAGAAGAAGAAAAAGAAAATCACCTGTTGTCCATTCCCCATCAGTCTCATCAAACGGCCCCCTGCTGACGGTGAGCGGTCGGTGCCGTGTGATGTCAGCTGATCCACGGCCTCTTTGTTCTTAACATTCACTTTCATATCTTTTAAAATAAGAAAATGTTTTTATAATTTCATCAAAACTAAAAAGCTGGAGCTGATCAGAGTGGGGACCAACTGATTAACCTGTTTAACCTCTGACCCCGACATGTTTGGTGTCTGCGCTAACGGCTAAAATCACAACATTATAAAAAAAAAAAAAAACAGACTTTGTTTTAACAGAATCATCATACCACAGTAGAGCACGTTCTGTTTAACCCGAGTCTACCAGGTACTAAAACCAAACTGTGACACGACATCACTCGTTCACAGACCTATCACGGCCCTCGGGTCGTGGCACTTTATCTACGAACCCACGCTGCCGTCCAGAGAACGTCATGTGAAGATACATGTGATACCTCGCCTCTGTGTTGTACTGTGAAGATGAGAAACAAATACTGTCAATCGCACAAAAACCCTTCAGCAAAAAAAAAAAGAAAAGAAATGTGAGTGCCTTTAACTGTTGCCATCTTTGTTTTTGTTTTTTTTGTTTAAACCAAAGACTTGACTCGTTGGCTTCTTAACATTTTTGTTGTTACGATAATCCCCGTCTGTCGTCCGTGTCTGTGTTGTTGCTGCTGCATGTTAGAAACAATGTCAACATTTGTCTGTGAATAAAACAATTCTCATCATGATCCACATGACGGTCTGTGAATTATTGTATTTTAATTAGCGCTGTGTACTGGCGAGAATCTGGCGAATTAAATTTGACATCAGATTCTCAGTGTTGTCAAAGTTTCCATCAAACATTCGACTCCAACGCACCAGCAAAACAGTTTATTAAATTTTGGAAAAGTCTAGTAAACAACAGAATGTAGTATTTTAATTTTCTTTAAGATACAAAAGACAAATGTCACTGTGACCTGTTTCAGACTCGCTGCTGCCTCTACAGTAAAATAAACATCAATAAACATGATCAGAGGTTCAGTGGGAGGCTACAGAATGAACACAGTCAATGTTTCTCAGCAGGGAGAGATATTTAAGACTATTGCAGTGTGAATGCACTGGAGTGAGGAGTCACTGCAGTACCAGGAGCAGCCACTGTGTCCTTGGTCCCGGCTTTTGGAGGGAAAACATCGGAGAGAACACGAACTCTGAGAAGACGTCGGCCTCGGTTCAGTTCTACGGTTTAGATGCAGTCAAAGCAAAAGCTGCAGTTACATTTAATGCTCACTAGGGGGCTACCTGATCGCTCTCTCTGCTGGGTCCAGTTCTCAGCATCAGGCAGTCTGAGCTGGTCAGTCCATGTACTGTCCTCACAGTTTAAGACCTAATTAATGACGACGACCACACAGAGCCGGTTCATGAAATCCTCCCCTCCCCGTCCCCCCCTCCCACCGTCTCCCCCATCGAACTTGGTCCAACTGCTTAAAGGATGAATGAAGGAGTGTGAAAGAAACAATATGTCTGCGAAAAAAGCCCATGGTTGTGTGAGTGGTGACCTGAGAATCACTGTGAAACAGTACCAGAACCAAACCGGACTCACCGTCCCTGCTGCACTCCGCCTCCCACCTACTCTAGCTCTACGCCGTTCACAGCCTGTGAGGGTTGACCCACTTGTAAGTGCCGGCGTAGTGAAAACCCACTCTCTTTGACAGGTCGTCTGCTTCAGTCGGGCCGCGGCTGAAAGACAACAGAGACGTTTGAAACTCTGGATGATCCTCCCCCCTCACCCTCCTCCCCCTCCTCACAGACAGGGCACGTCTTACCTTCCATACTTGTAGGGAATAGGTTTTGGTTTTTCGTTGTCTATCTGGTGGAGGAGTGGAGTGAAGATCCTCCAGGCCTCACGTAGTTCATCACTGCGGGAACAAACAGTTCAGGCGTCAGTGAAGGTCATGGAAAAAAAAAAAAAAAAAAAAACCTAAGTCCTGGACAACCGGGAAAACAATCCGCACAACTGGGCGTCAGGGGAAAAAAAAAAAAAAAAAAAAGCTTACGTCATGGAATACAGTGAAGATCATCCTGCACAGGGGGGCCATCTAGTGTTCATAACTCTCAGCTCACAGGGTTACATAACAAATCGAGGTTAGAAGTCTGAGGGAGAAACGTCACACCTGCGAACGAAGTGCATCTGGCTGCCGCAGAAGACGTCCAGGATCAGACGCTCGTAGGCGTCGGGAAGTTTCACGTCCTGAACACAGAGCACAGTTGGTTACGGTTAACGATGTAGGAAAAGTAAAGGTTTATGTTGCTCCTACGTCAGACACGAGTAGAAAAATAAAATAAAAATGACGACTTTAAGGTGTTTACTTTGTAAAGTTAATTTCATTCCTGTAGATTTGATGGATGGTTTTGACAAAAACTTGTTGGCAGATGAATGTCTTTGTCAGATTATCAAGTATCATGTACAATCACAAGAAATCAATCAATCAATCAACCAACCAATCAGTCAATCAACCAATCAGTGATCCAGTTCCTGCCTTGTATCTGCTCTTGTAGGTGAGGTCCAGCTCAGTCTCCTCTGGGTGGAAGTAAACCCCAGGTTTCTTGCTCATCATCTTGGCGTAGACGGCCTCGTTGGGCTGCACCCTCACCACCAGCTCGTTTCTGCGACACTGTTTTCCAAAAATGTCTCCGGGGACGTCTGTGAACTGCAACCGCACTTCGGCTTTCCTCTCGTTCAGGGCTTTTCCACAGCGGAGGATGAAAGGAACGCCTGAGTAGAATGACATTTTGGAATTAGGAAAAAAAAAACAAAAAACTTTTTTTCTTCAACAACAAAAAAAAACATTTTTGTCAAGACTCATATGAACCCACCGTCCCAGCGTTCGTTGTGCACGTAGAGGACAGCAGTGGCGAAGGTGGCCTGAGTAGATCCTTTAGGGACGGTGGGGTCATCGAGGTAACCCAGTTTGGCGTCGCCCTCACCCTCAGGGTCTCCAACGTATTGACCCAGAACCACGTCTGACATGGACACAGGGGAGATGCACTTCAGCACCTTCACCTAGAAAAAAAACCATTTCACTTTTACATGGGTAATCTACTGTTTAACAACAATTAATAATATTAAT